GGGTTTGAACTCGCCACCTCCAGTATGTGGAGCCAGCGCCCTACTCCTTGAGCCACAGGCACTGCCCAACACTGATATTCTGATAGTAACATCAAGAGCACTTTTAAACTGTAGTTTTGTAGTTTTTCCCTCATGAAATACATGGAAAGAAGTGAAAGTACAGTGAGTTTTGTTGGACCCTAAAAGCCCTGTACAATCATTGTCACGGCAAGGTAAACAGCATTATAACCTGTGACTCTGGGCATAGCCAGTTAGGCACACAGGACAAGTCACTGTGTCCCTAGGGCAGAAAGCAGTAGCAGAGGAGCACAGGTCACTGACGTCGGCACCTGTGTTAGCAACATCAGCCAGCAACAAGGAGACCTCCAGAACGCAGCAGCCCTCACCCTCAACAAATGATTCAAGGAGACCAAAGCTCCTAGCGCCACACAGGTGCCCTGGAGGAAAATGTTCAACTTGAAGGTGTCAAGCAGTGTCCAGACCCAAGACACAGGCCACAGTGTGTGGAGCTCCTGTCACTAAATCTTTTAAACATCACAGTGTCCTTTAAAAAACTAAGTTAACTTAGAAAGTATAACCTTGATTGTGGAATTCCTAAGAAGTCAAATCAAAAGAAAAGTAACAACTCCTTAATTAAGTAGCATTTTATTACAGAATTTCACAAAGAACTTAATATCTACGTGTAAAGATAGAGGCCTTGGGATTTACCATCAGTGAGAACACAGTGATTTTCTAATACCTACCTCTTACCACAACCATAAAGCAAAACAATTTTTTATTACGTTTCAGCTTTCCCACAGGAAAATTCGGATACAATCCTTGGCATGCTTTTAATTAACTGGGTGTTGAAATTCTACTTCCCTTTCCTTTTCTTTCAAGGTAGGAAAATAGGGACTGTGCACATCAAAAATCAATGTCTCTAGAAAGTTGAGGGTTTGGGCTAGTCTTCTTGGACACTCAATGCCAAATACACGAAAGGCTGCTACTAGAACAGCCAAGGCAGTCACACAGTTATCCACCTTCGTGAGCCTCTCCTTCTCTAAATATAAAGAAAATTCGCAGACCTCAATGTTGAAAGGGTTTTTAACTTCTAACACAGGCGTGGATGTTTGCACCTGAAGAAAGGAATAGAGTCATGGTCAGGATGGGCAAAACAGCTAAATACCATTATGAAACATGCCTGAATTTGATCATGATACTACAATACATAAGCTTGTTGCGATTTAGTATATTTGTTAAGTATGACAAAATATACTCTAAAATAGTATATCAGTCTGCTTTGTAATAAATTATGGGAAGATGTAAATTGTCAAAACCAAGGCCATTAACATACTGCACACCTTCTTATTCACGACGACAAAAAGACTGGGGTCATCCCCAAAAACATCTGGGAGAAGTAAACATGTGGCTGTCATCTTCATGTCTGTCAAAGTAAACATGTTTCCAAAGTCAGTGTTTAGCAATGGTAAGCTTCTAGCCATTCTTGTAAGCAAAGCTAGTATTACAACATCTGGATAGAACAAGCTACCCTCCTTAGATCAGCATTCCACAACCTGTCTTAACCACAGCCTTTTCTAATAAAACGTTCAAAATTTCATGTGTGCTCTGCAGATCCTACCAGAGGAAGGCAAGAGGTGTGTACTTTCTATCAGCCAGGATGGTTTCCCCTTGCTTCACCCTGTGATTTAATATCATAAAATGAACAGGTGACTAGTTCCCTAAATACAATCTTACAATATTGAGTGCACTTTAAAAATCTATAGCTGAAAAGTCTGGGCACTGTGGGTGGCTCACCCCTATAATCCTAGCACTCTGGGAGGCTGAGGTGTGTAGATCTCTTGAGCTCAGGAGCTGGAGACCAGCCTGAGCAAGAATGAGACCCTGTTTCTGAAAAATAGCTGAGGTAAGAATTTTCCTTGAGCTTAAGAATTTGAGGTTGCTATGAGCTATGACGCCACAACACTACGGAGGGTGACAAAGTGAGATTCTGTCTAAAAAAAAAAAATAGTAAAATAAAAATATACCTATACTCCTCCCTCATTTGAAAAAATATTTTTTCTTTCTTACCAGTTGTCTTCCAGAATTTCACTTATTACCAAAGCAAAGTTTTTGTCAATACGCTGAATTATTCAGAGAACTGAGACCAGATCACCCCACCCTGCCGATTTACTAACATTTCAACATGTCTTCATCTGTGTACTGTTTCATTTTTTCTTGCAATGCAATATTGATTGGATTGTCCACCACTGAAAAAGAAGTCAGTATATTTTCTGAATAGGATTCCAAAATGTGCCTTATTTTCTTATAAATATCTGTTCTTGTAAGAAGTTGGAATTCTCTGAACATCTGATAAGAGAAGAAAGCAATAGAAATATCAGATCGCAAGAAAAGCTAACATAGGCTGGGCGCCAGTAGCTCAAGAGGCTAAGGCGCCAGCCACATACACCAGAGCTCGTGGGTTTGAATCCAGCCCAGGCCTGCTAAACAACAATGACAACTACAACCAAAAAATAGCCAGGCATTGTGGTGGGCACCTGTAGTCCCAGCTACTTGGGAGGCTGAGGCAAGAGACCCACTTAAGCCTAGGAGCTGAAGGTTGCTGTGAGCTGTGACACCACAGCACTCTACCCAGGGTGAAAGCTTGAGGCCCTGTCTCAAAAAAAAACAAAAAAAAAGTGTTTCTTTAAAGGGTGTTAAACTTTGTTCTGACAGTAAATTCCTGGTCTCTCCTCTGGTCCTGTTAGAGTTGATGTTATCATTTGTTTGCCTATTTTTTCTTGGTGTTTGTCCTAGTCTGACCTAGGAGATGCTTCTGGCTCTAATTTAGGGCCTGGTTCTCACTAATAAGGCACTGGCTTTCTTACGTCCCAAGTGGATGCCTGGGGTGCTCAGTGGGGTCTCTCCACTCTGAGCCAGCGTTCTCTTAATTGTCCACACTGGAAAATCTCAGCCTCAGCCAAGATTGGCACTGTGTAGACTTGTGTCCCCACTCTTGGTTTCTCCAGTGCCCTGTCCTGCATAAACCAGCCCCTCCCTGACTCCCAAACCAATTTCTTCCGGGTCAGTTCAGTGGGACCACCCACCACTTTGGCTGATGAGGTAGCACATGAACCCTGAAGCAGAAAACCCAGCACAGTGCCGTGTTTCCTTTTTATTAAGGAGCAGAGTACTGCGGTGTCTGTTGTATAAGACCTGAGAGCAGCTACCAGAATGGAGTCCAGCACTAGTTACTCCATCATGGCCTAAAGCAAAAGTCAGATTTAAAAAAAAAAAAAATTATATTTTTTTCTGACACAGAATCTCACTGTCACCCTGGGTAGAGTGCCATGGTATCATAGCTCACAGCAACCTCAAACTCGGGCTCAAGGGATTCTCTTGCCTCAGCCTCCATAGTAGCTAAGACTATAGGCGCCTGGCTAGTTTTAGATATGGGGTCTTGCTCTTGCTTAGACTGGTCTCCTAGCACTCTGGGGGGCCGAGGTGGTAGGATCACTTGAACTAGAGTTCAAGACCACCCTGAACAAAAATCACACCCTGTCTGTACTAAAAATAGAAAAATTAGCCAGGCATTATAGTGCATGCCTGTAGTCCCAGCTACCTGGTAGGCTGAGGCAGATCCTCTAGCCCAGGGGACAGAGCAAGACTCTGTGTCAGGAAAAATTAAAAAAGTGCAGTCATTATAAAAACCATTCTCCAATCCATATTTTGGAAAGGGTGAAATACCTAAGGGAATGAGGAAGAACAGTGGGAGATAAAAGCAAGTACATGGATATGGCCTTCAGTCTGGAAAGTCTGCTTTTCACTCAGGCCACAGGGGAACCTGGGCCAGAAGGGATCTCACCTGACCTCATGGATGAGGGCCTGAGCTCAAGTGATCCTCCCTCCTCAGCCTCCCAGAGTGCTAGGGGACCAGCTTGAGCAAGACCACCTTGAAAGGCCACTTAACATAGTCTATGTATTTTTTCCTAAAGATGGGGTCTTGCTATGTTGCCCAGGCTGGTGTCAAATTCTAGGCCTTCATTTCAAGGCTGTGCTCCAATGAAGACCCCTAAGGCTGCAACGTTAGTGACCAGAGCAGCCTTACCAACCATCCACTAATCCTGTCAGCATCCAAAAATCAGTACTGCATTTCCATGTCACTCTCTGCTCTCTGCTTGGCAGTTTTAAAACTATTGATATTTAAACATGTTCCCTACATTTATAGAGTGTATTAACTATCAGTATGGTAGGTTTTGGCTTTAAGGCTATATTTTGTAGGTGTGTCAATTTGGCATGCTTTTCTAATAGCCAGAGGCTGCCAGTGATTACTGTTCCTAGCAACCCAAAGACTAAGAGGAAACAAGCAAAAGCCAAGGCAGGGTTAGAGGATTAGGTGGATTAATCCATGTAAAGCACTTAGAACGTGCTGTTGCATAGTAAGCACTCAGATGTTTGCTATTAACATTATTATTAAAATAATACAGGCGAATTCTTTCTTTTCTCTTTTCCCCCCACCCATCCTGGTGGCAAATTCTTATTTCAGGTTTTCTGGGGGGGAAAAATGTAAAATATTTCATGTTTAATTGGGTGGACTATACCCACAGAATTCCTCTATAAAATGTGTTCCCAAGTATAAACTTTGATGTACCTTTCATTATAGAGCATAGCTAAAATTATATTAAAGTTTTAAGACCCTTGAATGGTCCCCTTAAACTAAATGGAAGGGTATTTAATTTACCCATGAGACTTCATATATTTTTAAGACTACTTTATGTGATCATTGGGATCCTTGTATAGTAATAGTTCCTTAATAAAGCTTCCTAGTTTGATTGTTGAAAAGCCTTCATAGAGAAAATAATTAACACTAGAAATAGCCCTAAGTCATGATCCCCCAGCCTCTGTGATAAGTCTGGTAACAGAGAACTCTTCAGTTCTGAAGGCAGCCAGTGCCTCATCTGACCATGCTTCCTGAAATGTTTACCAAATGATCCTAGCTGGATTTAGTCCGTTGGGCCTCACACCCTGAGATCCACACCCACTGTCTTGCTACTTGTCCTATTACCACTCCAAAAGGAAAGAGGAAAAAAATCAGTTTGGACACTATAATCAGAGAGAATTATAAGTGAGTAAAAATACCAGCCAGGCATGGTAATTCATGCCTAAAATCCTAGCACTTTGAGGGTCCAACGCAGGAGGATTGCTTGAACCCAGGAGTTTGGGACTAGCCTGAGTAATAGTGAGACCCACCTCTGTACAAAAAACATAAAAACTAGCCTGGCGTGGTGACACATGACCTGTAGTCCTAGCTACTCAGTAGGCTGAGGCAGGAGGAGTGTTTGATCCCGGGAGTCTGAGGTTGCAGTGAGCTAAGATGATGCCACTGCACTTTATCCAGGGCAATGAAGCAAGACCCTATCTCAAAAAAAAAAAAAAAACAAAAACAAAAAACAAAAAAAACCTGATAAGGGCACTTCAAGAAAGGAAACAGTTTAAGGATGTCCTTCCGAGGTGTTCTGCTGCCGATCATCTTTCTTCTGATTTCCAGAGTCTGGCTCATCCTCTTGTCAATTTCTGTCCAGTTCTTTTCTGTTTTCACATATTCTTGCTGGAACCAATTAATATGTTCGTCTACCTCAGAATTTAAACAAACAACTTCTCCCTGCAAAATGTATTTAAATTACCAATGAATTCCATGTTTCAAGTAGTAGTTGCATACTTAATGAAAACTTGAATTACAGACTCAAAA